AAGTATCTATCTATCTATCTATCTATCTATGTCAAACCTGTAATTTTTTATTGGCGGGTTTGCATCCAAATCACCTTGTGAGAAAATCAGCAAGAAAATACTGTGAGATTTAAGAAACTCAACCTTAAATTTAACCAAGAAAACAAAATTCAAGGCAATTTTTCGACTTTATGTCAAATAAGTCTTTGTCAGACCATTTGCCATTTGGGACCAATTTGTTACCAGAACAATGCAAAAACCTCAATAAATTAAGCGAAAGGTAATAATTACTGCCACAAAATATTGTGAAAAAACACGCAAAATGACAATTTTGAGGTGACCTAAAATGTGTGCACAATTCAGTACCGTACAAGTGGCTTGGTTGTATCATATATATGAAAAGACACGAATTATTGTATGTGTCTTAATCCAATATAGCTTGTGGGTCGTCTCGATGAAACTTTCTAATTTTTCAATAGTCTTCACAGGATTGAAAATTTATGAACTGAAAATTTATGTAAATTAGATATCCAAGCTCCTTCACGGTCATGATTTCCTTCGTGGTAGTTCGTATTTTTTCATGGATCAATAATGAATATAAGACATACATACAGAGTTAAGCACAACTTAACCAGACACAGTACTAAAATGCGGTGCCCTTCATTCTTCAAATAAAACTTTCCGCATCCAAGAAAAGTTTATATTTAGTACGCTACATTCTAGCTATATTCCTTCTGTCGCCCGGCACAGTTGGTCTGGACGACAGAGTAACAAACAAACTCACGCGCAGAATATAAAACGGTGCCAAACTTGGCCACCGCAATATTGCAGATGAATTAATTCAATTCTCAATTCTGATTGGTTGACTTGAAAGCAATTTAATTATATTGTGATTATTAAAACGCCAAAATGTTATTTCGGTGGAAATTTGAATAATTTTAATGCCTCTAGTAACGTTATTTAGGCTACACAAAACATCTTGATGAAAACGTTGTTTCCGTTTTATTAGATGGGCGCTTATTATTTTTGCTTTAAGAGGGGTGTGTTTATTAGCTAAGGTGTTTTATTGGGAGTGTCGTCTATTACAGAATCTGGTTTGACCATTATTTCTGACCTAGGCGTCTACAAGTTAGAGAGTGGGCGTTTGAATAATTAGACCATTTACTGTGCGTAATCATTAATGGTGGCCAAATTCTTGTTGCATGTGAAAAACGAATGTACACTCATGAGGGCCGACAGTAATTGGTGTAAACTGTTGTGGTGTCCCCGCCTCTTTTATGTCTCATGTATATGAATTGTTGTACTTGTATTGTGTACTTTTTTGTCAAGGCGAAGCTAAATAAATAAATAAATAAATGTGATTCATGACTTTCTCAACTGACGCATGAAATTGTATTGGGTCTCAGAGTGTAGTCTCTATAATGCTATTACATATAAAAAATGAAACATTTGCCAGGTGTTTGTCATTTTGTTTTTGATATTACTTATAGAAACAATCTATTGTTTTCTTTCCGTGGTAGATACCACGCATATTTAATAATCCATGCACAAAGCTTTCAATCCGTATAAGCCCGTGTCTTCATCATATGAGTAAATCAATTCACCAATTAGGCAGGGAAATAACGAAGTAGTTGTAGTTTGCTACTACAGCGAATTACAATTTTCAAATAGCGAGTAGTTTTTGTCTACTTTTACAAAACAGTAGTTGCATGTATAGCTGTAGCGAACTACATTTTTCAGTAGCGAAATAGTTGATTATTTTTCAAGGAAAACCCACCAAGAACTTCAGAGCTTGATAAGACTTTCTTACATTACCTACGTATGCGGTTTTTGCCGCTTTAGATCTATTTGTCAGCTTTCCGTTGCCATTCAAATTACAAATTGGAAGAACATATATTATGATTTATGACATCAACCTACCGTTGCAATTTACTATACAGGGTGGATAAAAAAGTGCACAGTTCTAAAATGTTCACTAAATTGAAATTTCGCAAAATTTGTACAACATTATGTTAGTATCGGTAGTTTGGAGTCTTCTGGTATCGCTATCACCAAATTATTCTGAAAAGTAAATTTATCACACGCACAACTTATTTTATGCATGATTGATTTCTTACATAATCTTTACAAAAAGTTTAAAAAAATTAAGATAACAAATTATGCGTGAAGGACTACTATAGCAAAAAAGGCCAAGTTTTATAGAGGTCTCGCGTTGGACGCATTGTACTGCATCAATTTGCACCCTATGAATTCAAATTGCATTTCAAACCTATCATTTTTGTGCGCACTATTTCTATCTGCCGCACTCCCGAAAATTTGCTTTTCAGACCACCCATACTAAAAGAAAGTTGCCAAACATTTTGTGGAATTTTCAGTTTAGTGGAAATTTGACAACTGGTGCATTTTTTAATACATCTATATATATAAATAAGTCAGTAATATTTAGCCAGTCATTCTAACCTACAATTAAGAAATGGGAACTTATTTTGGAGTTCAACTTGAGAAGGTGTGCAAATCTAGCTCTTGGCTTGTGTGTGTCTAGACAAACTCGAAAACCACACGATGACACAAAGAGACGAAGTTTAGTGTTTTTAATTTGATAAATTTAAATCTATACTGGCATGTTAAAATCTGCCTCAGTAAAGAAGGTGTTAAAATTGCGAATGCCAAGGTTTTCTATAGTTGCCGTCGGAAAGAGGTTTTAGCAGAGAGGGTGTGAATATCCAATTTAACCATGCACTAAATTACACGTTGTTGTAGGACATATCTACCTTGTTGGAAAACGCCTTTGTCTGGCGTTAGACAGAGTAAAATAATAAAGTATGGCTCATCAGGGCGCATTGCAACTGAAAGGGTTAACAGGATGTCATATATAGCGGTGTGATTAACCCGGCCAATGAGTGGAAGCACTCTTCCCTGAAAGGGTTAAAAGCTTTACTTTATATAATGATGCTTTTGCAGTCATGAACTTACCTTCAGAATCACTACAGTAAGTAATATTGTCCAGTTTATAGAGTTTGCTGTCCTTTCCAACAAATTGGGCACAATTTTCTCTTGCATACCATCCAAAATCATAAGTTCTAAAATGTGCTTGTTTTTGCCCTTACTCGTGGAATTTTAATAAGCCCTCCACCCTGAGGCGTTTTGGCACCTGCCAGAACGCATTGCGTCACAGAACTTTGCCATTTGTTTTTGTTTTTGTAAAGCAGAAAGAGATTCTTCTAAAACCCGGACCTCTCTCCTTCGCAGAGGCTTTGAGTTGCTATTAAAATATGAATGCGCTAGACGGATTAGTTAGACAGTTATGCGCCGCATTCATACTTTAACAGCGCATTCCAATTCATACTTTTACCTTCGCATTTCTAAAGCCCGTTTTCCACGTCAACTGTACCTTACGGAAACGTACTGGTGAGCATGCTGAGATTGAAAAGAGGTTGATAAATCCACGTACTTCCCAGTGTATTCGCGTATCAAGATGAAAAGTTTGACGCAAGTCAACTTTTTGGCGTACTACCAGTAAACCTCCGAATATGAGCCTCCCCCAAATATAAGCCCCCCATCGAATATAAGCCCCCCCCATCGAATATAAGCTCCCCCCCGAGTATAAGTCCCCCAAATATAAGCCCAGTAGCGCACTACGTTATTCAACATTGACATTGTCTTTTAATATAGCAGAGAACGATATATAAAAACATTGTCATTGTCTTTATGGCTTACTATGTTAATCAAAGCGCGTTATTAATACATGTTTATTTTCCTGTTTATGACTGACTTGTTTATTACTAACACAAAAGATCGTCATGT